TAATTAAATAAATATTATGCAAGGAAAATGTTTCCTGAACTCGCACAAGTCATCTCGTTAGAAGTCGGACCCAAGTCCCATTCCTTTTCCTACTTCAAATCCTTTGCACTAGTCGGATTTTACAAGTCAGATAAACGGCTAAATGGTAACGAATACTTGGTCCCAAATAATGTAAATCCTAATGGAAATCATCTCCTAACTCGCATCATCACAACTGCATCTCCTGGCTGAATTGATGAAGTACTGCATGGATAGGATATGTATACATTTGAAACACTACAGGAAATTAGATCATGACCTGGGACAATAGAAAGGTACGGTCGCACCTTTCCCGCTACCATGGCCCTCGCCCGTTACAAACCCGCCATAAACGTAGTTTCTGGCCCGTGGGCCACTCACGCTGTTTACCTGACATCACTGTGGGCAGAGTAACTCCAGACATTCATGCGCAATGCAGCGCAAGTGGCAAATGGGTTTCACTCGGTGGCCCCACTGTTGTGATTGTCTGTTTGTGTATATGAGTATCTATGTCTCTTCTATATGTGTGTGTGTTTATGAGTGTCTCTATGTGAATGTGTGTTTCTCTGTCTGTGTATGTCTCTTTGTGTCTATGAGTGAGTGTACGTCTCTCTGTGTGTCTCTCTCTGTCTCTGAGAGTTTGTGTGTGTCTCTCTCTCTGGTGCTGGTCCTGAGAGGCAGGAGATGGTGAGCTCCTATAGCCTCACTGTTATCCCCACCCACAGTTATTGTTAAAGCAGCAATTAATATTTTTTTTGCAACAATTTAATATGCATTACTTCCTTGTTTAATTCTCAATAAAGTGATAAAATGTAGCAGTAAAATGTACCTCAATAGCACCAACCAAAACCCGCAATCCCCCACAAAATTTGGCAAAGGCCCCTGCAATTTGCCGCAAGGGGTGAAGCGCTCGCAATCTTTTTTGCAAATATGATACTTTTCTATTGGCCCAGGTCATGATGCGATTTTAATCGCAATTGTGAAATTTGAACTTTGATCTGACAAAAGTTACAAAAGTGTAAATGTTAATAGTTCTTTGTAAGAGTTCATGTTCTATTAAAACAGTTCCCTTTTGAAACTTGTGTGCTAGTACCATTTGTTGTACATGTTTTCTGCACAGGAGGACATGTGTTTGTTGTGGGGGTCTTGCTCACAAAATATACAGTAAATTCACTTTAGAGTATATTCTGTGAAGCGAGTTGAGACATCTTGAAGACGTGATAAGGCGCTATATCAAATGCAAGGATTACAATTAGTCGTATAAAATCCGACTAATGCATAACTCATACTTGGCACAAGTTGTATTAAATGTTATGGTCCTGACTGATACGACTTATGTGGGTTTACCTATATAATCATTTTTTATTTATACATACACAAAATATATTTGATTTGGCCTATGATGCATTGACTCGTGCACATAAAATAAACACTTTTAGTCTGCAAATTGATTTTGCTTCATACAGCACATTTCGGAAATCAACACTAACCATGAATTGTATTTTGCTTAGATTTTTTGCCCCAAACTACTGAACTTCCTACCTGCAAATCTATTTTAACAGAACCGCATTTCCTGGCTGCACTAGATACTCATCAATGAATGTGGCATTGTATTATCACTTGTCACAGAAAGTCTGATCCTTGCTGACAGCTTGAATAAACTTGAAACATTTAATGTTAACCATAATGGATTAATCAGGACAGTTGGAAGTCCAAATGGTCTGCTCAGACTCTCTCCAACTTCCTCCCACACTATGCATTAGCAGAAATTCTGAACAGAAGGCAAATCACAATCACTGCCTCCAAAGCATTTGACAAACTAGGGCAGACTAATCTGCAAATTAACTTTAGGAAACAATTCCAGGGAAAAAGACACCAAAAAATACTGGAATTAGATTAAAATAATATATTTTTTGGAGTTGATTGGATAAGGGATGTTGCACTTTTCACCTCTGCGGCACAAGTTTAAATCCATCGCATTCAGATGGCCAAAGCTCTGCTTTCTTCCCCCTTCTATAATAGTAATAATAATCCTTGCATTTGATATATCACTTTTCACGTCTTCTCGACAGAATAGACTGTAAAGTGAATTGACTGTATATTTGTGGACGAAACACGGCAGTCAATTGCGCACAACAGTGTCCCACAAACAGTCATGGATTGAAAATGACCAATTTATTATTGTTTTTTATTTTAGAGGGATTATTATTAGAACGTTTCGCCCACAAAATATAAAGTCAATTCGCACTGCAGTATATTCTGTGAAGTGCTTTGAGACATCTCGAAGATGTGATAAGGCGCTATATCAGATGCAAGGATTATTATTAGATCGAGTAAGAAGCTTGTGGTTTCAAGCTCCAAGTTGGAGCGTTGAGCTCACTGTCTAGTGTTGACATTCCAGTACAGTCCTGAGAGTGCACTGCATTTTTGGAGGTGCTGTCATTTGGATGAGGACCCCCAAAGCTACTTAAACTCACTTTAATAATAAGCAATACATGTATTTGAAATGCATTAAAATCACATTTGCTCAGTATCTTTTCCTTGCTCAATTCCTTTTAATCAATTTTATCTTGGATTTCTTTTTAAAATCTTAAAATAGGAGAGGTTCAGCACCGCTTTGTCTTTAATTGCTGCGGTGAAAGAAATGTTTTCATCTAGGATAATGCACGACATTTAAACCCGTGCCTTCGGCCACTACGTCCTGAATGGAACTCCCTCCTTCAATCCCTTCGTCTTGCCCCCGCTTTCCCCATTTTCAGGTTGTACCTGAAGACCTTCCTCTTCGACCGTGCCTGTGGTCACCTTCCCCCTCTCCCTGGCACACTATCCGGCACCGTCATTGTTAAGCATCATACAGTCATTCATATCAAACAAACCAATGCCTCAGCAAGCACACAACATTGAATCTAGGTTAACACTCCAGCATTGGGAGGGAGTATTGCACATTAGATTGCTGCCCTTCAGATGAGATGCTAAATCAGAGTCCACACTATTTTGGTGATTCATGAAGGCATTGAAGGTCCAATGGATAAGGCTGTGTAAAAAAAATGCTAGCCTTGCGCTCTCTCCCCTCTTTCAAGTCCGCCTGAAAACTTTCCTTTTCAACCGTGCTTACAGCCACCTCCCCCTTCCCCCCAGCTCGGAGTCAGTCTCCGCCACTGTTAAGCGCTCCGAGACACTACCGTGCATGGAGGGCGCTAGACAAGTGCAAGTTTTTGTTGTTGCCACAATTTTCTTGAGGAAACTGCAACTTTTAACACACACAGCAATGTTTTATAGTTGCCACAACCTTTAATGATTACAAGTGAGTACGAGTTCCCATTTGATCATCCACCTGCCCATCAACCTACCTCATGCTCCCAATGGACCACCTAGTTGGCCATGAACCCAAGCTTGTGCTCTCTTTGGACAATCCATCTGCAGGTACCTGGGATTGCGGGGCTGTTGATGAACAGGTAGATGGCCCAATGGGAGCCCGTACTCACTGCAGGTACTTGAACTGACTGCACCAAAACCACAACTTTTACAAATGTTTGGACCAGAAAAATCACAATTTTCTTACAACCTCTACTGTGGATCTATCTGAAAGAGCAAGAAAGCTTCCTGGCCAATATTTATCCCTCAGTCAATTCATATGAATTGGATTAAGTGGTTAATGATCACACTGTTAGCTTGTGGAAGTTGCCTTGTTCTGCTTCATTGATTCTGCATCCCTCAGTGAACTGAATTCAAGTCCTCTTCCCCGTGTTCAAATCCCTCCAAAGTCTCACCCCACCCATGACCAGCTCCATCCTGCAGTCAACTCCACCTCACCACTCCCTCCCCACTTTTAAAGCCTGCCTCAAAACCTTTCTTTGACTACTCTTTTGGTCACATTTATTCCCCTCCCACTTTCCTCACCCCACCGCCCCACCCTGGGCTTCCAAACAGCCCTATGAACCGCTTTGAGACAGCCCTCCAATGTGAAAGGTATTGTACAAATGTAATTTTTTGTTGTAGATAATGCCAGACACTACATTTGAAAGTACCTCAGTGTGTGAAACAATGAGATGTTTTGATATAAGGGACTATACCAAATGGAAGCAATATTATTTATAATAGTGCCTTTTAAGCAAACTGTTCCCCATTAACAGAGTGCCCATAACAGAATACTTCTGTACTTTTTTTTAAAACCACACTCTACCACAGACTCTCTGATGGCAATGGACAACCATCCAGTAGCTGTGCACCTATACTGGTTTAAGCGCTCCAAGATGCTACTCCGTGTAAAAGGCACTATATAAATGCAAGCTGTTATACGTCTGTGTACAAATGGTTCTTTCTGAAAAGACCTTGAGACATCAATAAAGAAAAAATTTCTATCAAAAATTGAGTCTCTATACTTACTTTCTTTTGTAATCACTGCACAGAATTTATAATTACCTTGATTGTAAGTGCAATAGATATTTATTTTGAAACATCCATTTTAAAAAGCACAAGCCCTCCGCAGAGCATCTACCGCAGTGCCCAGTTGAAGGATGAATTGAATCAGTGGGTTATCTTTCAGATTAACTAGGGCATTTAGTAAGAAAAATTTCATGAAAGTGTAATTCTCAGCTTTCATGAATCCACCCAGCAGGCCACCTGAAATTTTCCTGCTTCATAAAACATCCCCTTATTCATTTCTTGGTTTAAATACGCTAAGGTTTCTCCTGTACAAGATTAGCAGTACCTACTCCTTTAACAGGCAGTGCGAGGCATTGGTTTTAAAGTAATTTCTGCCACCTGGCATATTTCCACACAGCAGACGTTCTGTGAAATAAAAACGTCAAATGATGGCAAACGTACTCCCTCAGTGAACAGTAGAATTTAAAAAGTTCATTCAGAAATACAACTTAACTATCTGCAGCATTGTTGAACTCCTTTAAGATCAAGAAAGCCAGAATTTTTTATGAGCGAATGACCCAGACTGTTCCTTTTTATGGCCACCTGTAGGTACTTACACTGTAGTATCTTTTGATATGTCGCCTGATATCCACAGTTAGCTTGTTGCGCATCTGCACCACACAGGTCACTGGTGACGCATCGCAGTCAACGTTACTGCAGTGAAGCAAGCTGGGTTGAAGTTGCAGCCCCTGATATGAAATAGACAGAGAAAATATGAACAATTAGTGATGAGAGCAAAGAATTGAAAGCAAAACAAACTTTCCTTTTTAAGTCTACAAAATAGATCATTTCCCCCCTTGCTCTCCTCCAGTCTAAGGTGAAGGAAATCATCCAATGAATCCCTCTCTCTCTGAACAGTTGCCATCTGCAAGTTCTCAACATCCATGCAATTAACTCTATCTTGTTTACAGCTCTAATGAAGCAAAAGTCAAGGATTTTTCTAAGTAATATTGCTTAGTGCCAAGCTCTGCTCCTGACTTTCTTTAAGCAATGGGTTTGTTTTGACTCAAAAAATCCAAAACATCTGTTGCTCCATGAGATCAACTTCAAATAATTACTTTTAATTTAGATAAGGACTCCTTTGCTTTGAGATCCAATGTCTACAAAGATGGTCGGTTTTGTAATTTACTGAACATTAAAACCCTGAAAAAAAAATCACTGAAGATGATTAAATATTTTGTACGATTTTAAGTTTAGATCCAAGGTCACAGACAAATAGTTGGCAGTAATGTTCGACAAGGGAACATCTTTACGTACTTTATGAGGAAGGAGGACAACATTCAAGATAATCTCAAGAACAGATTTTTTTTATTAGAGGGAGGAAAAGTGTTCATATCAATACTGAACAAACAAAGTGTCTGTTCAGGTAGAAGTTAAAGGGCCTACAAAAAAGTGAAGGGAGTTTGTCCCAAAATCTTGGCCAACAATCCCCCAATTAAATTTGGTCATTCATTTCATGGCTTTTTGTGGAACACTGCTGTAAATTGGTGTTTTCCTACAAATACGCAAGACTTAACAGTAAATCCTGTAAAGAGTATTGACACAGGATAAGATGTGATAAGAGGCTATAGCAAATGCAAGGATTATTATTATAATTAAAAAGATAGACATTTGGAAAGTAAGGGTATTGAGGAGAAAGCATAGGGAATAGTATGAAACAATCCATCATATCTAATACACTGGCTAAATAAACAACCTTCTCTTGTTCTTAACCTCTTGTGTTGAGATAAAACTCTTCCCCTCCCTTTTTACATACTTTTATTTGCAAAAAAAACCCTTCCAAAAATAATGCTATCTTTAATGATTTAATCACAACAGACTAAGTTCACAGTACATGAATATTAGTAAGGACCATCAAAGTTTTTTTAAACCAACAAAAAACCCTTTTATTAAACCCTTTTATTAAAACTATTTCTTCTCATAAATTCAATTTTTATAACTCAAATTCACAATTTTTTGTTGGTCTACATTATGCGCATTCGTACCCCAACACTTATTTCACTGTGATGCTGGTTCCATGAATACACATACACAAAACGACACGGACATGGATTACTCGGTTTCGATAATGTACGTGCATTCTGAAACCCATCTGGTTGCTCTACTGGTTACGGGAATTTGCACTCAATGTGATGTGTTGGCAGCTTCACCCACTCTGGGAATCCACTCACTATATTCCCGGAATTAGCATAGCAGCCAGGTGGGGTTTGGGATGTGTATTCATTGCTGGAATCAGTATTCCTGGAATTGAAGTGAGGTTGGTTTCAGAATGCGCATGCTATACATTTATTCCCAAATAAATTAAAATTTTCAATGAATTTATCATTTTGGTATGTTAACAACTACAATAAATTACATTTGTATACCGCCTTTCACGTCAGGAGGATGTACCGAAGCGCTAAATTCCCCATTACCTCCTGCTGTATTTTATTCTGTTTGATTGAAAATAACTCTGGGCCCCTTCAATTTAAAAAAAACAGCCCTTAAATATTGGCAAAAAATCACCAAAAACAGAGGGGAAATTAGGGTTGAGCAAGGAAGAATCCCTCTTGCTCCCTTTACCTCACCTCTGTGGAGGAGCAGCACAATTTGCCTGCCGCAGTATAAATGCTGTGGGTGTGATCCACATTGGGCTCACTCTCCTGAGATTTGCTGCAAGCTCTCAGGCCGTTCGATAGACCACACACATTCAATGCCAGTTTTTAAAAACCTTATTAAAAGATCCAATTGCAAAGAACTCCAAAATCAACTGTTTGCTGTTTTACAGTCTCAAATTGAGTGCAATATATAAATCTGGCTGGCAGCACCACACCGCTATATAGCTGGGAACTAAATGGTTTCACTCCCGGGAGCACAAACAGTGTAAAATGCTTGGTCAGCATTCACATAAATAGTTAAGGATGTGCAATCAGTTTCAGCACCCAGGTTTGTAAAAATAAACTGCTGGAATGGTGGGTTTATAGCATCTACAAAGAGAGACAGCATGCTTCCTGCACAATGTAATGACACAGGTGAGTCTATAGTTTATAGTGCAAGATACATATACTGAATGGTTGTTATACTGAATCCTGAACACAGGTTTCACTGAAAGAAAGTGTGACCTATGACTCATTTATAGTCTTTTATTTAAAAAGAAGATATTGTCAAAAAATACAATAAGATCACTTTGAAAAGAGCAGATTACTCTCTGGACCAGCTTTTATGAATCTGGCAGACTAGTACATTTCCGGTTGCCTGGCAACCTGTCCCAGCACTTGGCATTCTAACTTGGTAAGTAATTTGGATGCAGTAAGTAGTTAGTTATACGATCTGCCTCAATATTTGCTGAGCTCTGCTTTAAACTGGAAAAAGTTGCTCTCGGTCACGGTCTAAAAACTGTTTGGTAATCCCTGGCCTGGTGGAAGCACTTTGAGATGTCAGTGGGGTGCACGGCACTTTCACTGAGGAATCCTCATGCAAGGGAATTATTCTGAAGGGTCTATTTATAAAACTAACAAGTACGTCCTATTCCAGTAACAGTACCTTAAATTAAAGTGCTGGTTTTATGAGCCTGAAAGTAAAGATCAGATCAAGATTAGAAAAAGTTTTCTTCGCACAAAGAGTTGGAGAAATGTGGGATGCACTGCCCCAGGAGGTCACAGAGGTAGAACCAAGGGAGATGCTTAAATAGGAGATAACAACATTACTTCCCAAGTAATTTTCTAAGAGGGTATGTGGGGAAACAAAAAAAAGGGGACATGGAATTAAAAGGTTGGTTAAAATCTTTTAATTGATAAGACAAGGCCTGATGGACGGATCCTATTCTGCGGACCCACTTCCCCCATCCACCTCTCACGCCTCATCCATCCTCTCCTCCAACTGTGAGGAGATGCTGGATTTCCTCAAGACCAAAATCGAGATCTGTTCAGCTGCCTCTGCCTTTCCACGCCCTCCCCATCTCTCCCTCACACTCCAGCCACTAACCATCCCTCCCTCCACACTTTCAAGCCTGTCTTCCCCTCCTCTCTCACCACCACTATAACTCGAATGAAGCCCACCACCTGCTCCTTTGACCCCATCCCTACCCCCTTCTTACCTCCCAGCTACACCTCGTCGGCCCTTTACTCTCAGACCTCGTCAATCTCTCCCTGTCCACTGGCACCGTTCCCACCTCCCTAAATGCAGCAGTCATCACTCCTATTCTAAAAAAAAACGTTCCCTGCTCATTTACTAATGCCCCATCTCCAACCTCCCTTTCCTAGGTCTTTGAAAGAATTGTTGCTTCCCAGCTTCACTCCTTCCTCTCCTGCCACTCCCTTTACGTGCCCCTCCAATCAGGTTTCCATGCTGCCCACAGCACGGAAACAGCCCTGGTCAAGGTGACAAACGACATTCTGTCCATCTGTGGACAGAAAACAGGGGCTCCCCCTGTTTTCTTATCCTCCTCGACCTCTCTGCCGTCTTTGACACTGTGGACCACTCTATCCTCCTCCACTGCCTCTCTGCTCACCTCAACATCAGCTCAGTAGGCTCCGGCCTGCTTCACGTCCCCCACCTCACCCGCCCCACCATTGGCAGGCGAGCCTTCAGCCACTCTGCAACCCTCTGCCACTCCATCCCGCAGTCTCTCCGCCTCGCCCCCTCCCTTGCCTCCTTCAAAACCCATCTCTTGAACCATGCCTTCGGCCACGCTCCTACCCTCTCTGCCCTCCGCGATCGCAAACGTCCGCTGCCCCTCACCCACGCAGGGGTCTAATCCCTGACTGTTCAGCGCCTTGGGACGTCCTTCCGACGTGAAAGGTGCTTTACAAATGCAATTTTGTACTGTATTACTCGCTTACACCTGCTCGTTTCTCGGCTGCGACTGGCTGACTTTTCATGCTAAATGGACAACTTCCAGTTCATTGATTCCTGTTGATCTCACTTCCTGCTTTACACATAAGGCAGGAAATGACATTGACGTGACCTACTGACCCCCCCAAAAATATAAAAAGGCCGTAATAAAATATAAAAATTTCACATGGTCAAAATAATCCAGAACAAGGAACACTTAGAGGGAAGGTGAACAGGCAATTCAGATATAACTACGTTAGAGTGCTGAATGTGTGGAGTAATCTACCCTTGAAGGCAATTTGTATCAGCAAATTCAAAAGTATTATTTGATAAAACAGTTGATAGATGGGGCTTTTAAGAAATACGAGATTGGCTTATTATTTTATATATTAATAAAATGTTTGGCTCTAGTCAAATGGTTACAATGGTCCTGTACATTGCTAGGATACTGCATGACTGTTGCCAGTGTAATTCCAATGAAAGTTGCTGGAAACGGACAGTTTTGCTCTCGTTCTAATGCAACCATTATTCAAATTGTCATTTTTTTGTGAACAAACTTGAGGAACATTTATCCAAGTTTCCACAGACATCATATATCAATGTTATAAAGGGCAAACAGAGCCCCTTCATACTCGCCTGTGGTGTAATAATAATCATAAAATTCTTCCATTTGGTATAGTGCCTCATCACATCTTCAAGACTTCTCAAAGCGCTTCACAGAATATACTGTAAAGTGGAGTGACAATGTATTCTGTGGGCGAAACACTTTTTTTGTATAGTACAGTACTTACACTGCCATCAAATACGTTGTCGTACACATTTTCTGTTCCACATTTCGGACATGCAAACTTGAACCTCTCCATGTCGCGATACCTTTCTTCATCTGTAATCTGGGCTGTGCCACCTAACAGCGCATCACTCTCTTCATCTTTATGCTGTTGAATTCGAAACTGAGTTGGATCCAGACCTAATCCAGAGGTGGGGAGAAGAGAAAAACAATACTAAAATCAGAAATCACATTCCTTGAGGTCATCAATTTGCACTCAGCAAGACACAGTAAAACAGATTTAATCACAACCTTTGCACTTGATATTTAATGCCAACAATGAAACATCTCAGAGCGTTTTATATTAATTGTGATTAAATGTAGTGACTATTTTGTAGGTGAACATGGCAGCCAATTTGCAAGCCACAATGACCTGTACAAACCATGAGGTGAACGACCAATTCATCTGATGGATTGCTGACCAGAACATTCAAAAAACTCTCATTTGATAGAGCACCTTTCACACCAGAAGGACATTTTAAGGCACTTCACAGGATTTACTGCAATGTAAAGTGACAGTATTTTGTAGGCAAACAATGGGAGATGCTCTTTTTCAAATAGTTTCAATTATTTGTTTAATGGAAAGTGCTCCTTAAGGATATCAAATGAGCTCATTGAACAAAATACTGCTCATTGTAGAGAATGGACAGAGGTACACTCTCCACCCACCACGATAGCATACTGTAAACTGAAGCCCCAGAATAATTACAGTCCAGGCAGTCTGCCTTTATTGAACCCAAATAAGATCTCTGATCATCAAGCAACTATTCTGCTCTCTTCCCTGGGAAGGTACTATAATTACTGAAACCAGATACTCAGAAGCTACTGCACTCGGTCTCACTCATCCTTATTACCTGACCTTTCAAAGACATTCTTTACTTTGCTGTACTTTTAAGCTTTCCTTTGTCTGGTCTGCTCACATTGTGAATCTTCTATTGGTCCCAAAATTAGTTATTCTCTATGGAAAAGCCTCACAGACCCCCACGATGAATTACACCAAAGCTTTCTGCAAGTATGCTAAACTCCTGTGACAAATGATTTCACTATGCAGTATCCTGGAAGAAATAGATATGAAAACAGGCAGTGAGCAGATTTGATGTTGCCTGCAGTGACAAAGGTACAAACATCCTCGGTTTAATATAGAATTTACTACTTTGAGAATGTACAGAAAAGCATTGCCTCAAATAACAAAATGTTTGCAGATCCAACTTTCTTGGTAACAAAAATGCTGGAAATTGAAAAAATAGAAAGAAGCATTTGCACCATCTCACTAATCTCACCAAAAAATGCCCACAAAGCCCAATAGGTAAACAGAGTAAGGGATCAGAAATCCGACCAGTGATCCCTTCAGAGCTCAAATCTCAGGTGATTCTGACAAGTGGGGAATTTTCTGCAGAGAATGTAGTTTGGGCAACTGTGCTTTTTGAATGCCATTGACTGCACTGTATCTCGCTTGAAACGTACAGTTCTTCTTTGTATATAATAGTACAAATTTACATTTATACAGCGCATTTATATTGCGCTTTTCACGTTGGAAGGCTAACTTGCAAAGAAGAACAAGCAATGGAAAAATACAAACAAGGGTTTTTCTTTCTTTGCCTATCTGTATAATACCCTCAAGGATAAAATTGATATTATACAGGGGATTTGTTTTCACTGCAGAAATAATTCCATCACAACTATTCTAGGAATATGCTGATAGTTCTTAATTGCCTCTTAGCCACGTTGCTCAGGCCTACAGGCGAAAAATGATGACTTCAGATGCTGCCATCTAGAGACGAGCAATAGGCTGAATACCACAGCGTTCATGACAGCTGTAGGCACTGTACTGTAAATCCTATTCAAGTGTATAGACTTGCTTTTTAAACTTGGATCTCTTTCGCCTCCCCCATCTGACACATCACTGCAAAGCTAAAATACTCAGCAATAATCAGTTTACCACAAAATTATTCACTTAAGGTTTCAATCAAGCCAGTCAATTTAAATTTGTCTCATGACGATAATCTATTGCAAATATAAAGCCATATTTTGTTCAGTGTACTTCACTCTTAAATATACATTTTGACCAGGACCACAACTGTGCAAAATTGTAGATGAATCATCATTGGCTTCCTGGATGGGGGTGGGAAGAGATGGAATGATCAATTTAACTTCATAATATTGCTAGTTAATCACCGATTATAGCACAGAAGTTGGTATAAATGTAAGGTGGTGTAAATATAAATGATTTCACATGGCACATAATAGACTCCAGTGATTCAAAACCCAGCCAAGTAGCTTTGCCAATTTCTATCTCCCTTTACCCCGCCCGCAACCTCCCGGAAAAGAGAGGTACAGATCAAGAGCAGGTGCAACACAGGCTGCTTTTGTGAATACTGTAGAACTCTAGTTATCTGCTCATTGGTTTATCTGCAGATGTTTCGTCAGACTTCATGAAATCAGATTTTTATCGAGTTCATGAAAAATTACAGATCTGCATTATACTAAAACCAAATGGTTAATTTATTTTGGTCATCAATAATAATCTGTCACTCCTCCTCTTCCTCCCCCTTAATACACACAGCAAAAAGTTTATACTTTGAAAATGTGACAGCTAAAGAGTGCTACGTTCAGATCATTCACCCCAGAGGACCAGTTAATGTCATTGGTTATTGACAGGGTGGGAATTCTCAATGGTGTTAATTAACGAATCACAGGACACACTGTAAGTGCCAATATTGCAAATATCTGTGTTTGGAACTAAATGCAATAAAGGACCATTTATTTTGCCTCGTTTGCAAACCTGGATGTTTAAATTCGAGCATTGAAATTCAACAGCAGCATTTAAAAGAATTGTATTTTACGGTGAAAAGTGGACTCAACCAGCAACAACGTGCACTTATACAGTGCCCTCGATGCAGGGCAGCGTTTCAGTGAACTTAACAGTGGGGGATCCTGACTCCGAGCCGGGGGGTGGGGGTGGCCGTAAGCACAGTCGAAGAGGAAGGTTTTCAGGCAGGACTTGAAAAAGTGGAGAGAGGCGACGAGGCAGAGGGATTGAGGGAGAGTGTTCCAGAGCGTAGTGGCTGAAAGCATGACCTCCGATGGTGGAGTGGAGGGTGAGAGGGATGAGCAGGAGGCCGGTGCCAGTCGAGCGGAGGCTCCGGGTGGTGGATTGGGGAGTGAGGAGATCGGAAAGGTAGGGAGGTGCCAGAGAGTGAAGGGATTTAAATACGAGAATGAGGATCTTGAAGTCGATCCATTCGGGGATGGGGAGTCAGTGGAGCCTGGCCAGAACTGGTGAGATGTGGGAACGGAGTTTGGTCCAGGTCAGTATCTGGGCAGCAGAGTTTCTTTAATTTTTAAAGGCAAACAATGGCCTTTAAAAATGATCTCAGTCCCCCACCCACAACTCTGTCCCAAACTGCTTTGATTTACAGCACAAGATTGTGTTCTCTCAACAACAAAAAACTTGGATTTATATTGTGCCCTTCATGCCGAACTGCATCTCGGAATGCTTAACAGTGGAGGAGCCTGATGTCAAGCCAAGGGGAGGGGGAAACTGACTGTAGGCACGCCCATTCAAGATAGTGGATGGAGAACAGAGCTGAGATGCCTGTAAATCACATTGTCTTCTAAACTAGAAGCTCCAAACTAAAATATCTGATCCTGTCAGCAAAACAAAGTTTGCTTTCGAATTCTTGTGTACTTTCTCTGTAAAGTACATGGTTATATTTGATCTGGGTTTCTGGTGCTCATATTGTAGTTGAGTCATCCTGATGTTAGACTTTACACCGACCCCTGAAATAGTTTCATAAGGACATAAGAAAATAGGAATTGCTAGATGAAAAAAGACCAAGGTCCATCTAGTTCGAATTCCACCTTCCTGGCGGTCGCAGGCACATATGTTCCGAGCCATCTATGTACTATATCCCATAATGTTATTTCATAAAAGAAAACTAGCTAATCTGTGTTTGAAAGAATCAACACTTCCTGCTTCAACTGTCTCCCGAGGGAGTTCCACAGGTTCACTATTCACTCACTGAAAATAGTGTTTATGTAGTATCGTTCTGAATTTACCCCCTTCAATCGCAAGCCACATCCTCTGGTTTTACTTGTTGACGTTGAAACAGCCTGTCATGATCTATATTGTCTAGCCCTTTTAGAATCTTAAAGACAGAAGTCATGTCGCCTATCAATCTTCTCTTTTCCAGCGTGAACATCCCCAATTTACTTAGTTGCTCCTCATAGTCCAGTCACTCCATTCCCTCAATCATTTTAGTTGCCCTCCTCTGTATCTTCTCGATTTCTCCAATATCCTTTTTGTACTGCAGTTTCACTGGGACCTTGAAATCCTTGTAGACATAGGAGTTTATTCTTACTCTTAATATTCATACAGGAAACATCCTCTTCAATTGGCAATACTATCTAAATACAGATTGCCCCACAGCAAACAATTTACACGAACATGCAGTCAATTCACTTTACACTATATTCTGTGAAGAGCTTTGAGATGTCTAAAGACGTGCAAAGCGCTATATCAATTGTAAGGATTATTAATATTATTATTATTACACACACATCTAGGTCCTTCATCAATATTTTTCCTTTGCAGTGCCTTTTAAAAAATATTTCTGGGTACACAACATTTACTTTCAAGGCAGCAAACCAGGAGTGAGAAGAGATAGTATATAAATAAGTAAACGTCACATCAATGTTTTAAAACAAATGGTCAGGGAAGGGAGTGAAAATATTCTCCTTAGTTGCTTTCATACCCTCTCAATAACTGGTTCATGGTGGCATGCTGACAAGCAGGCAATCTATCAAGATACAATTCTATTTTAGTAACACTAAATGCACCCACCCACAAAATATAGTCAATTCACTTTACAGTATCTTCTGTGAAGCGCTTTGAGACATCTGGAAGACATGATAAGGTGCCATATCAATTGCAAAGATTGTTATTATTATCCCAAACTCTGAACACAAAGGAAGAGAAACAAATCTAGGTGTCACAGAGCTGAGATGACTAAGAGTCCTCCTCTTAATATCAACCCGAGCGATTGTGTTTACGTGTGTGTGTTGATTGCTATTAGAGGGTCTCTGGAATACATTTACGCTGAGCCTCCCAGTTGGATGCATGGAAGAAAGTGAACAAAATCTATACAAATTACGAAATTGTCACTTCCTCTAAAAGCAAGGTGCTTTATACAAACCTGGCATTTGGCACCATAACCTAAACTTACCCAGCAAAGTAGCAATCAGCGCAGAGTCTATCCCGTCAATGGGCTCACAAATTCGGGCCACCACTGGATGCACTTGCTGGGACAGATAGTACTGCAGGTCAATTGTCAGTGTTTCCTGTTTCTGCAGCTGCTCTGGCGCGTAGGCTCGCTGGCTGGCACTCAAGTTTGAACCATCCTACAGAAATACAGGTGATAGTAATGCAGCGGAATCCCAAGTAATGGACACACCTAATGCAAGGCTAGGTAGGCTTTTTAAAAAGCACACATCAACTCATTTTCATAAATACATTGAAAAATTTATTTTAGAAATTCCATGATTTGTTAAATACAATTTACAAATGCAGAGTGCCTTTCATGTTGGGAGGACTTCTCAAAGAGCTTGATGCTGCTGCTAAAGGTGTAAGGTGCTCAGAAATACCAAGCAGTCCACAGACAACTTCACGCCAGATATTGCATTGTCTAAGATGAATTGATGTCTTTAATTTTGTTTTTCACAGGATGTAGAAGGCATCAATAATCCCAAAGTGCTTTTCTGTAAATATCATCTACAGTTTGCCCCAACGAGGAAAGAACAGGAAATGGGAATTAGTGGAGTTGAGGTTTTGCGTAATTAACACTAGGGTAGTTAGCTCAATGCGGAACTAAAACCAACATAAGTTTGATAGGAGATACTGTAATTTTTGCGTTTAAGGTTCCTTAGAATGCTGCTGTAAATCGCTATTCCACATTAAATTTGCTATAAATTTACTTTTAAGACCTTATTGGTTTGTTGTTGATATTGCATCCTTTTCTGCACTCTCCTCCCATGAATCAACACAACTTTCATTGTTGAAACCATCAATTTATTATTCTGTGAGGGATTTTTCTCGCTCTTACTTGACAAATGATGTACGAGATGGTGTCCCCGGCTTTCACTTTTCGTCCCCCTTGAGAGTTTATCCACATGGCAACATGGACATGAGGCAAACTTTTCTTATCTGGGTAATCCTGGGGATCCTTTGTCAAAGCCTAAAATGGAGAAAAGCAAATGTGAAGAATGTCATAACTTAACCAAAGAAAAGTGAAAGGCAATAGTGGCACCTTGAAAGCATTCTCAATTTATAATGCCATTATCCATCCACTTACCCGGTAAACTTTGCATCGTAACACACAATTAAAGACTCTTTGATTTGGATTAAATCTCTCAACCTCTTGACTGAAGATTATGGCTAAATTTTGGTATTTCTTGATTCCTGATTCCTTAAATCAGGAATCTAAGTCTGTGCGGCAGAGGCTCTCAGCAGCCCAGAAATAGGAAATTTACTTCAAAGCACAGAAATAATCACATTGAACAATCATAAACATCATGAATTTCATCCTTTTTTATGAAAAAAACATAAACGTAAGTGTTTTTCCAAACTTTGTTGTAGCCAATACAATTAAGAGGAAAGTAAAAAAAATTCAGCAAAAAAGATTTCTATTTTGAAAAGAGGCTTGAAGGGCTATGGGGATAAGGCGGGGCAGTGAGATTGAAGCCATATCCTTCCTTCGTGAGCCAGCGCAGGCTTGTTGGGCTGAATGGCCTCCTTCTGTGCTGTAGATTTTTAGGTTTCTACATCCTTACATTTTATCAAGCGCCTTTCACATCAAAGATGTTTAAAAGCACTTCACAAAATATACTGTAAATATAGTGACTACACATTTCGTAGCCAATTTGGCCCACAAACAGCCATTAAGTGAATGACCGTAGAAGAATAATACAAGAGGCAATAGGCAGCTAATGATTTGCATGTGTTGGATTCCATTATTGATGCGCTGTAAGCACTAGGACATCAATGGCAGAGGAATACTGAGTTCTTTGTGAAAGAAAGATGTGCAAATTTCCTAGCAGCTTTCACATCTCAAGCTAAAAAAAAATGGTGTTCTTTGCAGATTTTCTTTATTAAGTGGGTTCACAACAACAGTAACAAATTGTATTTATATAACGCCTTTCACGTTGGAAGGACCCAAGGCTCAAATGAAAACGCATGTGTCATGCTTTTCTTTTAGAAGAAGTTTAGTACAAAACTCTTTCCCACTCAAAGGCTCAAGTGCCATGAAATTAATGGAAATCTCTGAAAGCACTGAGTGAAATAGGATATAGGCATGTTCCAGTTTCTCCCCCCTCTCTGAAGGGATGCATCTCATTGACTTCTAACATAGTTTTGGTTTTCAATGTAACCGAACTGCAAGAGTAAAACGCTGCCCTACTGGAGATGCTTTATGCTTTGAATTGAACAACATTATACATTAAGTTTCCTTTACATTCTCAGGCAGCTGAGCTGACCACAACAGAGGCAGTGCCTTGACAGTGGGACACTGTTTGGCCAAACAAGAAGCATGCTCATTTGAAGAAGTGAAAATTTCAAGTAACTGTAACTATGAATGTTGTGTGGCATTACCTCAACACAGATAGTGACCAAATGAAATAACTGCACAGAAAATGCATTGAAGCTCATGAAAAGCAGAAAGTGTGTACTGGTAAAGAAAGGTTTGGTTAAATGGCATTTTGCTGTATGCAGTCAATGGGGTGAAATTTGCCTCATAAAATTAATTAGCGAACCGCCATCATTAATGATATTCCATTCATGGGTTCCTCTAGAATCGAACGGCCTTGAGACAAATTCTGATTGAATTAATTAAAGGAATTTCTCCTGATGCAATCTTGCCACATTCTGAGGAAATCCCCAATTTAGAGCCTTGTTTTCATAATGAAAGTAGGCATTAAAATGCCACCAAAGAGCAAACCTACTTCTTAAAGAACCCAAAGATCACTGACAATAAAAAGGTGTTTTACCTTGTTAATTTCAAACTGGCTCTGGGGTGTACTGCCATTGTCAACACCCTCCTTAATCTCCATTAGCTTCTTCTGAATATTCTCCACAATCGTGTCTCGGGGTTGATCAGAGAGAATCTGACTGATAACATAACTACAGTACAAAGAAAACAGTAAAAAAAAATCAACACTAGGTATTTTATAATGAAAATTACAGTTGAACAGCTAAAATGATGTACTAATCATGTCAAACGAACATTATATATACATTCAAGAGTGAACATGCATTATTATAGCATACAATACAAAATTACATCTGTTGGTGCTTTTCACGTCGGGAGGACATCCCAAGGCGCTAGACAGTCAGGCGACTCATCACATCAACATTTCTCAGTTTTACCGAAAACTATCATTTACTGCAATGTTAGTTTTTTGTAAGGAAAAATTGCAGCTATTTGTGACAGCAAGGTCCCATAAATAACCATAAAGCCAATGCCCAATTAATCAGGAAGATTTGTTGGCTGGAACACCAGGAGAGACTCCCATCTCTCTATTCCATAAAATGGAACTTTATTTTAATGTCTCATCTAAAAAAATCCACCCAAAGTACTGCAAGAGAGTGTCAGCTAGGACTATGAGTGCAGGCTGGTTTCTCAAAATTAGCGGATCAGAATTTGTTCCATTGTGATACGACGGCTGAATCACTCAAAAGATTCATAGAACTGCAGCACAACATTACATGAGCATTTTCAGGGAGATGTTTCACTTACGAGAAATATCAATCTGATCAAAAGATAGTCGCATCGAGAGCAACACAGATTCATTAAAATTACTGGTGAGTCTGATGCATACACATTTGAATGCACAGCTCAGAAATTTTGTTCCGCCCAATTTCTATAAAGCTTCTAGCCGTTTTACAACCACTTAATGGCACCCCTACTTGGGTCATTCTCCACTTAATGTCTCCAAACTTGCTGTCATCAGCAGGGCTTCAGCTATTCTTATTAATGTCACTCAGTTTAGACTCATACTTGGCAAATTATTTTACAATATGCCATATTGTTCCATCTTTTGTCAAACTTCATGCAAAAATATAATTCCCAGAAAGTACAATTCTCACAGTTGTGAGAGCTCAGACAAATGAAAAATGTGATGAAAAATGCAGAATAATCTATCAGCACACGGAGCAAGGTTAGTGATCACGTAATTCAGTTTAATTTGGTGATTTGCACTTTAAAACACACTTAAAATTATTCAGCGCAATATAAAAGATAAGATACTTCATTTAATGGAACTACTTACGTTCCACTTTCCTTTGCTAAGCCACACCAGTCTCTCCTCACAATATCCAATCCTTTTAGCTCCTGTTTTGTGACGTAATGTCCATCTGCAGTTGGCTCGACAACCAGGGCAGCGTATTTCTTCTTTTTCAATAGCAGCAATGACTTGAAGACACCATCAATGTCCAGCTCCAATAATTTGTATTGTTTATTTATTTCACTCTTAACCTGTTAGCAAAACAAGGGTAGTGGCACATGTTGTTCATCTGCCATTTTTGGGACTTTGTCAACTTTAGAGTTTGACATTCGCAGTGTTGATATTTGTTGCAATTAATTCAATTGTGAATATCGCTTTTGAGACCATATGCATTCATAGTAAGATGTTCCCCTTATAAGCTTACATTAAAGTTACTGGCCTGAAAGTACCAATTCCTTCCCCCCAACTTCTAATGGCACAACACATCTCACCATCACAAACTAGGTAAAAATCTTAGAAATATTTGAATGAGACAAAGATCATCAATGCAGAGCGCAAAGTATATTAAGAGAAAAACACTTGCTCAGTTTAGTGGAAAGACTGTTGCTAAGGTTTTGTTCAGCGATAAGCTCATCGCCTTTGGTGATGTCAGCCACTATTGAGCCCCTCATAATAGTCACACAACACTTTGTTCTGAATGGAATTTTTACTCCCATCTGTTTAAGTTTGAGGTTTCACATGATGACTATAGGATACTGGAACAAAAATAGTCTGAAGGAGCATAGAGGAGTCAACTCCCCTGGTGTGGAATTGTTAATGGAAGAGAAAGAGAACATATGATCTGCATTTTCATTATTATTCACAATAATGGATGATGGGCCTTACGTTCCATTGTGAGCTGAGATAAAACAATGAAAAAAGGACAGCAAGTCAATACACAGGGAATAGTTTCCAGAGAACATAAGAATTAGGAGCAGGAGTAGGCCATTCGACCCCTCTAGCCTGCCCCGCCATTCAATAAGATCATTGCTGATCTATTCTAACTCCACCTACCCGCCTTATCCCCCTATCCCTTAATCCCTTTATCCACAAGAAACCTATCAATCTCAATCTTGAATATGTTCAAGGACTGAGCATCTACAAACCTTTGGAGTAGAGAATTCCATAAATTCACTACCCTCTGAATGAAGAAGTTTTTCCTCAACTCAGTGTGAAAGGCCTTACCCCTAATTTTAAGACTGTGACCCCTGGTTATAGTTTCTCCAACCAGGGGAAAAGTCTCCCATCCCACTATCTATTCTGGCGTGACCTTTAATAATCTTATAGGTCTCTATAAGATCACCTCTCATTCTTCTATATTCTAGAGAATAGGGGCCTAAATTGCTCAACCTATCCTCATAACTCATCTCCCTCATCCTTGGTACCAACCTAGTGAATCTACGTTGTACCCCGTCCAAGGCGAGTACATCCTTTCTTAAATAAGGAGACCAAAATTGCACACAATACTTTAGGTGCGGTCTCACCAGGGCCCTATACAGTTGCAGCAAGACTTCCCTACTCTTATATTCTAACCCTTTTGTAACAAATGCCAACATACCGTTAGCCTTCCTAATTGCTTGCTGTACCTGCAAACTTTTTGTGACTGATGTACAAGGACACCTCTGAACGCTAACACTATCTAGTCTTTCCCCTTCTAAACAATAATCTGCTCTATTGTTTTTGCCACCTAGGTGGATGACTTCACACTTCCCTACATTATACTTCATCTACCACCTATTTGCCCACTCACCTAGCCTATCTATATCTCGTTTATTTAATGTCATCCTCAGTGTTTACTCTCCCTCCTAGTTTAGTGTCATCCGCGAATTTGGATATATTAAGTTCAATGTCCTCATGTAGATCATTGATGTAGATTGTAAATAGTTGAGGCCCTAGCACTGATCCTTGTGGCACTCCACTAGTCACATCCCGCCAATCTGAGAAGGACCCGTTTATCCCTACTCTTTGTTTTCTTCCTGTTAGCCATTCTTCAATCCGTGCTAATATATTCCCCTTAATTCCATGGGCCCTAATCTTGTGGATCAACCTTTTATGCGGGACCTTATCGAATGCCTTTTGGAAATCTAAATACACTACATCCACTGATTCCCCCCTATCTAATCTACTTGATATGTCCTCAAAAAAATCTAAAAGATTTGTTAAGCATGACTTCCCTTTTGTAAAGCCATGTTGACTCTGTCTAATCATATTGTGATCCTCTAAGTATCCCACTACAACATCCTTAATTAAGGATTCTAGAATTTTCCCAACCACCAATGTCAGACTAACTGGTCTATAGTTCCCCATCTTTTCTTTCCCACCCTTCTTAAGTAGTGCTGTGACGTTTACGATCTTCAAATCAAGGGGAACCGTTCCAGAACCAAAGAATTTTGGAAGATCAGACACAAGGCCTCCACTATCTCATGAGCTACCTCTTTTAAAACCCTAGGATGCAAACCATCAGGTCCAGGGGACTTGTCACTTTTTATTGCCAACAATTTCCCTAGCAAAAATTCTTTGCTAATATAAATTTCCCTAAGTTGCTCCCTATCATTAGCCGCTTGGTTCATCTCTATTTCTGGTAAACTTCTTGTGTCTTCTAAATTGAAGACAGAAGCAAAATATTTATTTAGGGATTCTGCCGTTTCCTTATCCTCCATTATAATTCCTCCTGTCTCTGCCTGTAATGGACCTACATTTACTTTTGCTAGCCTATTCCTCTGAATATATTTATAAAAACTCTTATAATCTGTCTTAATGTTCCTAGCCAGCTTGCCCTCATAATCTATTTTCTCACTCTTAATGAGCTTTTTGGTTTTCCTTTGTTGGTCCCTAAAATACTCCCAGTCCTCAGGTTTGCTCTTTTGGCAGTTTTATGGTCTTTTCTTTTAGTCTTATACTTTCTCTAACTGCTCTAGTTAGAGGACGTGGTCTACACTTGAAGTATGGGAATAAGGGGAGGTTTCTGCAGGAAGGTGTCTGGTTAGAATTGGCAAAATAGCCAATTCCTCCTCAAAGTATACGAAAAAGGTACAACATGCTTGTGGCCAAATTACCTTTAGGATTACCACAGTTACAGTTAAATACAAATATATTATTATGAAATAAATTAGATTACTCACATATGCAAGTCATCAATTAGTAGGCAGATGAATCTTTGTAGACAATATTCAAATCCTTATTAAACTATAAACCTTTTAAATGGACCACAATCTACTTTCAGAACATGAATTCAGTGTCAGTGGACCACACAGCAACACTGAGACAAGCACCATTGATATCTTACTTTGTTGCCTAATTTGAAGACCTCCTCCAGATTTGTGCTGTTGCTGTTTATCATTATGGAATCCGTGTCACCATAAATGACTTCAAGGTTCATCTAATAGAAAGAAAGTGGAAACTTTACAAACCAAGAACTTCAATTCCTCAAAAACTCTACAGTCTAAAGCAAATGACATTTCTAGTTTCACACCTGGAAAGAAGCATCAATATTAATAATATAAAGACTTTTAAAAATAGATTAGAAATACGTTCCCCTCCCCTCAACCTTGAATACTTCTTCACTACATTCCCATCCGTTCATTGATAAAATAACCTCTTTATACAAAGTAACAATGGCTCACCACTGCTGAGAAATCAATTTGGGGGAGAAGAAAGGGATTTTATTATAAGTCCTGTACACTGCAAAACAAAGGCAGAGAAACAATAAATTGCCCTTTCCAGGCTCTTACATAGGAAAACATCAAACATTTCAGAAATGAGTGGGAGCCAAGCAGAATGAAAGATGGGAGGCAGATTACCAAAGGAGACCTAATGACAATCTGTCTGGGATGCTACCTTGTATGAGGGGCGCTATGTAAATGCAAGTTGTTATTGTTGACAATAGCAAGTTGCACTTCAACTACACTGGTCACAGAAAACAGCATCTCGGTGCACTACTAGTGACCTGGATGTCAGCCACTTGAGTGCAAAAAAAATGTCTGGCACACCGGAAGCGAGTGAGCTGACTACACTCACGAGCAGTGAGCTGATCCATACCGCAACCACCTTCTAAACAAATCTGCGGTTTAGTGCAGCACATTATAATGGGGCTGCACTGTGTGCTGATTATCTCTTCATCTTTTTCGATGTCTTTTGAGTCTGATGGCTTTCCCAACTACCCTTACTATCGTATTGGACTCTTTTTTTTAAAAAGCCTCAAATTTGTAAAAATACTCTTGGGTCTCTTTCCAGTTCTCTCAACTTCATTTTTTTTAAAAAAAATAGCCTTGCACTCAACTCAATAACAGTCTTCTTCTTTGCCTATAAAATTTTTCAATTCAATTATTCATGGAAAATAAACACCAGTACGGACAAGATAGGTCAATTCAGGGATTGCGAATTCTATCTCGCAATTCCTCTGCCTCACCCCATCTCTTGCCTCCTTCAAGTCCCATCTAAAGGCCTTCCTCTTCGACCGTGCCTTTGACCACCCTCCCACCCCTCCTGACCCCACCTCGGGTCCAAAAACAACCTGACTGTCCAGCGCCCTGGGATGTCTTTCCGACATAAAGGACGCTATACAAGTGTAATTTGTAGTTGTTGTCAAATGGTCTGTTTTGGTGCTGTACAATCTATATAAATTTCAAATTCTTCTCAATTTGTGAAAAACTTTGAGACATGCTTTTATACGAAAGGTGCTGATGTAAATGTAGGTTGCTGCTTTTATTGGGAGAAGAAATTTATTTTTAGAAGAGAAATCTTAGAAAAATATCTACGTTCGGTAATCTTATTTTAACTAAAGTCACACTAAAGATGACTGGATAAATCAGCGTTGGTATTTACAGTCCTGGGGATTAAAGGTTGAAACAATTATAAACAATGAGCAGGAGCAATTTGCTCTCATCAAGGCCAGAGCTCATCATGGTTGGAGCCCCTGCAAATGGCCTGGAACACAGAAACACTAACAGTTTGCAATGAGACACCCCCCCCCCCCACCCACACACACAAAAATCGGGATTTATTATAGATTTAGTTTGAAATGTAAATATAGTAACTCTCAATGCCTTGTGCATTTCTGAAAGGACGTTCACATTGTACCTGCAGTACATCGTCAAAACATCACTACGCTTGCAGGGCGCCAAGAGCCTAATGACGGAACTCACCTCACCAAGATATTCAAAACGACACAAATCAGAAGTGTGTTAAAATGTGACATGTGTGTAGACTCACCCCCCCCCCCCCCCCCCAAATCATGACATGGCTATTAATCCAATGGATCCACAGACCTAAAGAACAACTCAATCCTTATACTATCTGTAGTTGTGTCATGAACACAGGACATCAGGAATTATTTTATTTTACAATTAAACTTTATGAGCAAATAACGATGAATTAAAATAAATTTATTTCAAATTAAATAAAGTCAACCCTCAGTATAGAAATATTGATAACTCTCTGCCCCCCCACCTCAGATATTAGATATCAGATAATCTGATATTCAGATATTAATCAAAATATTCAGGTCTGTTTAGTACTGTATAGCTATAATAACCAGGTGTCTAAACCTGACGCTCCCAGTCAGTCGTATAGACACAGCACAGCACTGAAGTCTAACAGACTTAACGTCCTTAGAAAGCCTCGTGAAACAAAAGTCTGGCTCATCAAACTGTCTATCACTATTAAGCACGTCCCATCAGTGATGATTTTAAAAATTATGTTGATAGAAGAGTTAATGAATGGCAAAGCAGAGAAGTTATGGAAGATGCCAAATACGACATGTCTGTCATGCTTTCGGCATAAATTTACATCAGGTACAAGTGATTTACAACTGATTTTTCCCCTTTTTTAAAGAACAATGGTAAAAAGTACAGCTCATCACCCATCAGCTGCAACGAGTTAATTTTATACGCAGCATCCAAATATCTGCAGTGTGCATCATGCAAATTTATTTATCAGTGTTTTCAAGTCCACACTTTCATGCTCATTTGACTATAAAAAAAAGCCAATGACCTAGAATACCCTAGATACTTGCTCATCGGTTGTATTCCTTTCAAGGTTATAATCTAGTTAGTACTGCACAGCCAAAAAAAAACACAACATCTGGCAACTTTTTTTCCTGAGGATTACTGTGATTCAATTTTAATTAACTAGAGTAACTAAAATTGTCCTTCAGTTGCAATTTTGAATACATTGTTTCACTTGTGGCAAGTTCATCCATATTGTGACAGCTAAAGCACTCGCAAGTAGTGTTTTACATGTAATTGAGTTGCACAACTTCATTTTTAAAGGGAATTATAACCAGCACAAAGGTTATTATACAATTCCACTATGTTGAGTTTCTCCACACGGCAGAAAGATCCAGGAGGACGAGGAGGCAGAGGGAGTCCTGGTCACAGATAGAGAGAATGTAGTTTGTGACTTTGACAAGCGCTGTTTCTGTGCTGTCGTCGTCGTTGTTGGATGAGCTTCTGTTTCCTTCTTTCCCAGATGTGACCAGCAAACAGCCTAAATTAGGGTTTAAATACAGCATTTCTCCATTTTGTCTCAATCCTCTGTTGCTGGAGGAAGGGGGAACATACAAAAAAAACTTACCATTGAAACCCAAAAGCAAAAATCTTTTCACCTTTACCCAAATGCCAACCCTAAATCTCTCTGTAAATCCCAAAAGGCGGGGAAAAGAAAAGGTCTTCAAGTAAAGAGGCAAGACACATTTCATTAAAAATGAAATTCAGCACATCAATACATGAATAAACACTAGTTTATTCACAAACATATTTCTCATAATTTCATACAAATCATAACTAATTTCTGATTATAAACACAAATGCAATTTGTCAAATTCAAATTAGTATCATCATTGTCAGGAAATAAAATGGATCTAAATTCAGCTCCAAATGTTGTTAAATGGGTTTTACATCTCAAGATGCTGAAACATACCTTCTGGACCATCTCCTTGGTGTGCATGAGAATCTGAAATGAAAGAGTTACATGTAACTAATTTATGTTAAAGACAAATCACAACGCATTATGTTATTTCCTAAACTTCACAAAGATAATAATCCTTGCCATTTGAAATAACACCTCATCACACTGTTGAAATGTCTCAAAAGCACTTCACTGGATTTTTACTGTGAAGTGCAGTAAGAATGTATTTAGAGGCAAACGCAGTTGTCAGTTTCTGTCAAGTAATGTCCCACAAACAGCCATGTAGTGAATGACCAATTTTATATGGAGCATGGATACTGAAATAAACTACTTTCTGTTCGAATAGTTCTAGCATCCTACTGAACAGGCAAACGGGACCTCGCTTTAACGTTTCATCTGAAGGATGGCACCTTGGACAATGCAGTATTTCACAGGGGCATTGGGGAGCCAGGGACAAACAAAGGCACTGTCAAAAACATACTGCTTTACTAGGTGTATCAATGTGCTGAAGGAAGTCATAAGGCAAACGGGTTACGAGAAAGTTCCAAAATATTGAGAGTCTATAAGCTTAGTCATCGAGGGTGGGATAGAGCAGAGGAAGTAAGTGAGGAACAAGCAACAGATCAGACATCATTTTAGAACCAAAGATGGAATAAAGTATAAAATAATTTAAAAAATTTATCCAGGGTAAAGCGTAGAAGAAAGCTTATTAAACTCTAATTAGTCAGGCATTTTCATTGTCCATAGTTTCTAAATTCAGATCAAAATATTCTTAAATGGGTTTAACACCACACTTCAGTTTGAAAACCACGTTGCAGTACAGCAATGATTATTCCAGACTCCCATATAACATCCCATTATTCAGTCAGAATCTACACCATTAACTCAGCAAAATAAAAGCTACCTATTGCCTCAATATTCTAAATTGTGCTAAATTGTCCAAAAACAATTAAATATCATCATTAGAGTAAGTACATCTCAACTTGGGTAACATTGGAAAAAACTATAATTAACCTCAGTGTCTATGAGTTTAGAAGTTTAGAGAAGGAGGGATAAAACTAATTCTGCTTCTGATCACTATCAAATGGCTGTTTGTGGGATGTTGCTGTGTGCAAGCTGGCTGCCTTGTTCGCCCACAAAATATATAGTCACTCCATTTTACAGTATATCCTATGAAGCACTTTGACGATATGATAGGGTGCTATATGAAATGCACGGAGGATTATTATTATGCCACATCTACAACAACAACAACAACAAGATTCCATTTATAGAGCGCCTTTCACGTCAGGAGGACGTCCCAAGGCGCTGCACAGTTGGGTCATGACCCGAGCAGGGGTGAAATGGTCAGGGTGAGGGGAGGGAAGGGAGGGAGCGAGGAGGGGGGAAATGGTCAGGGTGAGGGAAGGGAGGGAGCGAGGAGGGGGGAAATGGTCAGGGCGAGGGGAGGGAAGGGAGGGAGCGAGGAGGGGGAAGAGAGTCGAGAGGGGAGCTGAAGGCTCGGTCAAAGAGAAGTGTGCATACATCAGTTAAGGAAATAAATCAGATTCCACAAGAAGCATAAAATCAAAGCCGTCTTTTGAATCTTATTCTGCAGAGGCGGGGGCACATTTTACCATGAATTTTCCATTCATCACCGAGGGATAAATATAGCTTTAATTCATCTATCAATTATAAAACCTGACGCATTCTTGACACTAAAAAGAGGTCAGTTGGTTCTATGCTGTCAGTGCATGAAAAGCATTTATTCTTAATTATTCCAAATGCTTTAAAAACTGCATTTAATTTCAGAAATAAGAGCTACTTCAGAGGGGTCTGGAGTGATGAAGGTGTGGTCCCATTAACCTTCCCTCCTTTAATGAAAAAGCTCTAATTTCTCAAGTCTCTTTATAACGGAGCATCTTGCTAAATCCTATTGTTACATTTGATTTAATTTAAAATGTTATATTCAGTTTCAATTAAAGTGCTGCCAAACTAGAATTCAGTAAGATTTTTTTTTGCTTTGCACTGGAAAGAAAATCAAACACTCCATCAATTACCTATCTGTATGCACATACATCCGCAATTAAATAACATGCACAGTAAAACAGTAATGAATATAAATGGACGAAACACACAGAAAATGACTGTGGTCCGAAGAGGAACATTATAAGCTTCACTTTATGTGAGTTTGGATCAGGCTGACAAATCTAGAATGAACATTTCCACACATGGTTATAAATTCTTGGCAGCGATCTGCTGCAAATACAACTGGCTCAATCAAGAAACAAAAGTTTAGTGAATGGCTCAGATACCTACTGAGAAAAAAAAGATATTTCACAAGCAATCCCATGTAACTATTTAACGGCATTTCCTCCATTAATTACAAGGAAAACTCGATCACGCAATGAACTTGCCTTTAAATACTCCCCAGACTCAGGCATATGGAGAAAGACCACTGACAAGTCATGTTCAGAAATTGATGGCCAGCCCATTAATGCAGCACCTACTGACAGACAATCACTTTGAAGTGTCAAAAGCTAACAAACAGAATAGAGGGTCTAATTTAATTCTCATTAATTATAGAGTGACGGCACTCAAATTTAACTGCATCACCAGATTATTTTTTCACCTCCTTTTAACTCCTTGCAAACATTTAAAGATTTGATATTTAAAGCTAGGGTTGGAAAAGGTAAAGGAACATTTTGTGGAAAGAGGTGAGAGAGAAAAAAAAGAATGGTCCATGCTTCAAAGTGTACATCTGTGAAGAAGTACTGCATTTTTAAACAATCCTTCACTTTAATGTCAAACACATCAGGGAAGAGTTTAATCGGCAAATCTATGCAGTAATTCAACACTTATTACAAAATGCCAAAGTCATTTTCCTTCAGACTAATTGGTTGAGATGTAAGCATTATTGGACTACAACTGCTTAAAAGCAGTAATGAACTCCTCAATCCAAGTGATGTCTGATTAGAAAAGCCATAAATTAAGAGCCTTTTCACAGAGACTGAAAACCTGACTGGAGAAGAATTTGGGGGATTCCCATCAGTGACATTTTTTTTCCATTTCCCATCTAAAATCTCGCCTTTTAGTGGTATTTATTAGTGGTTTATTAGCTGTACGCATAATTTTTATTCTGGACTTTTAAGGATCCTTTCATACTGAGAATAACGTGCTTACTCTGATAATAATTAATCCCTTTAATTATAACATTTAAACTGATTACATGGATTCAAGCCCCAAACCAATAAGAAACAGCAAAACTCCTTGCCTGCCTTCCCCAAACCATCTGTTATTTTACATAATACACATAACAGGCTTATTCTAATGCAATTTGGTGGTTTACTGCAAAGCAGTGTGTGAAATGGATTCATGCAATAAACAGACTGCACAGTCAGTTAGACTACCTGGGTGAGCAGCAGAATGTGCAATTTATAATTAAAGTTAACTGATGGACGCCAGAAGTTAAACGCTGCAGGCTTTTCCAGTGTCACAACACAGAAGTTGCGATGCTATTTTTCTTTCTCAAAATACAGATGCATAAATAACACCTCACAGGTATGTAAGTCAGTACCCACTTAATACTTGATCAATTCCCACCAAACGTTTATATATAAAACAATCGGGAAGCTCATGTGTGCATTCCCATGTATTTAAAAGTAGTATGCTGAAAGTTTAATACATGTTGTTCTCTTCCCCTCAATACAGGGAAGAAAAATGATTAAAGTAAAACTCACATAAGTCTTATCAGTCGGAACTATCACATTTAATATGAGTTACACAAAGTCCGAGTTACAGGCAAAATCGGATTTAATAAATAATCTACACCGCACATGATTATTCAATGCTAATTCAATGGCAGTTTGTCACTGCAGCTGGTAAGTGTGCATGCAGTGACGGGTCAAGACTACATTTGCCGCTGTTCAATGCGCTGTGGCCTACCACCGCATGCGCAAACAATGGAACAGTGGAAAAAGGAGTTCCTCTATCTTTCCCACAATTCAGCCGCATTATGAGCAAGTGTGCATAGGTCGATGGGTCACAACATCATTTCCCGTGATTCAAAGCAGCCAGTAAGCCAATAATGGAGAGTTAGGGAGTGGCATTACGAGTTAGCAGGTGATGAATACGAGTAGTGCAAAGAAATCTAAGTGATTTTGATAGGAAACTGAATGTTACTCGTGTGGATGTACAACTTAGGAGTTTATACGATTTATAAAAATAAGACTTTGCGAGTTTTACTGCATTAACTATTAGGGAAGATGACAATAATAATGGAATTTGATTTTGTACCTTATCACATTATAGTGTCTCAAAGCACTTCACACTTTGCAGTGTAGTGGCTTATCGGCCTTTTCACTTAATGGCCTGTTCACTTTGAAGTCTCCTTCCCCATGAGACAAAACTATATCCCAGTTTGCCTGTAGTGTAGTAGATGCCACACACAATACTCCTGCCAACTAAAGTTGGTACATTCAATGCAACAGTTGAGCACAGCAAATACCTTAATTCATATAATGTCAGATCACCAGATCTTAACTCTTAAGAGTTTTATGAAGAATATAAAATCGCACACAAAACTCATTGAATGTCTATCCCAGTCTTTGTAAAGCGCTCCAACGCGTTATCCTATGTGAATATAAATGCAAGTTGCTGTTATCTTAAGGGGCAGTTTTAATTGATAAGTCATGTAACTGCTTGTTAAATTAGAATCTGCACAGTGCTTCTAAAATCACACGTGCTGATCAATTCAAAAACAATTTCTTAATGCGATAAGTGAAAATTTCAAGTCATATATTAAACACCACATATATTCAGGTCCTGGAGACAAAAGAAATAATCACTGTTGAAATACCTAGCTAGCCACTTATTAAGATGTCTTTGCCACCTTCATCCAGAATCCTTTATTCATCAACCTTCCACCCCTCTCTTTTTATGTTTCACCCTCCTTACAATTAGAGCACAGGCTGTTGCCAATGCTGCTTCATGCTGATCGCTAGATGTGGTGTAAAAGCAGCTTAAAGAGACTTTCTCTCCCATTCTCTGTCCCTTCACTACGTGCC